GGAATTGGGTCACTTCAGGCTGCAGTGTGAACGTAGCCTAAATTAACTTCAGCTATTTTCTACAAATTTCATCTCCATTTCTCCCAAGATTTGAGGCTTTACTGAGCTACATTCAATCAACCATATTTAAACTTTCATGCTTCTTCCAATCAACCCTAAAAATATCTCCCAGTATTCAAACAATTACATCTGAAGGAGATATTGTTCTGCAAAGAAACAATAGAAATCTTCTCGAACGCTTATGGTTTAATCAGACACCATATCTGATTAAAATGTGTGGCCTCAGATGGAGAGTCTGGGACGGAAGCTCAGATTCACTGTTCCTGAAATAAATACAGCATTGTTTCTCCGTAGGGTCCAAAAACCAAGGACCCCTAAAAAAAAAAAAAAAAGTGGAAAGGGTGTGGGCAACTTGTCCCTGACAGGACAATGGCGCCGAGAGTCGTGTTTATGAATAGAATGAGTGGAAAAATACAGAAAGAAACAGCAAATTAAAGCAGTGAGATCTTACCTTCGGGTCACCCAGAGAATACTGCAAGAATAAAAAGATGTATGTTAGCAAAGGTGCTGATTAAAGGCAGCGTTTCCACTCTTCCTGGTTCTAGTCTGGTTTACCTTTATCGTCTTCTCCCCTGTCGCCATGGAAACAATAGATTCCTTAGGCCGGAATGTTGTTGGGGCTTCTGAGCTTTTGGCAGCAGGAGGAGGAAGGCTGGAGGTGGAGGGCCTCCCTGTGGTCGCCTTTGGGATTGAAGTTCCACTTGGAGTCACGCCTATCTTTGTAGTAGCCAATTTAGTGGTACCTTAAATTAGAAATGAAAGCCACTTATTATTATACCTTTATTTTTACAGGAAAGTCATTAAGAACGAGTTCTTAGTCACAATGGCGGCCTGACAAGTGGAGTAACCACTTAGGAAAAGGACATAGGGCTAAAATAAATGCAATACATACATAAACACACGTGTCGATCAGATAACATCCGTATAAGACGTCTTGGAGAAGGTTTCAGACTTTGTAACTAACTGAGCATTGCCTTGTTGCCTTAAATGTTGGACAACAATTTGACCGTCGATCTCATCTCAGTGATTTATTGACCAACATTCAACGGAGAGAAGTTGAAGCTTTCTGAGGAATCTAATGGCTCTGAGAGAGGAAAGATCGCTGATGACTTGATGAAGTATGAAGAACGGTTCAGTTTGTTCAGTTTGTTCTTAAAGCCGGACATACACTCCGATTTTTTGCCCTTCTCTGGCCAATTCTCAGCTTGTGCAAGAACTTTTTGATTAGGCCAAATTTCAGCCTCATGGTGCGTCCTGCGCCATGTAGTATACAGGGGGTAACGAAGGGCGATCAGCCTCTCACGACCTCCTCCCTATCAGGAATCATAAGGTCGGGAGAAAATCGAACATGTTTGAAATTTAGTCTGTAAGGTGTTGGTGGGTAAATCCTGCTGTTGAAGCAGAGCAACGAGCCGATTTACCAGAACCTCGAGCACCAAGCATGTGCAAACAAGGGAGTTCTTCTTCTTTTTCTTCCAAATTGACGAGTCCGACCAGCAACATCTCTCATTGGTCAGTCCCACCTGGTTTTTAGACGTACAGTGTGAGCAGGTAGATCGCATCAGAGCGTCGGGTCGCACAATGTGAGAACAAAGATCGTAAGCTATGAACTTTTAAACTTTTAAACCCTGCGGTTTTCGTCGTATAGTGTGAGCTGTAGTTGCGAGCTGCTGTAGCTAAGAGCTGCGTCACGTTCCTCAGATGCTTAGAAGCTCTTGAGGCTAGCTTGTTTGCCTCTAGAGAGCGGTAGTACCGTAGATTGTCACTAGGCGGCGGCGGACCATGCCAGAGTGGTGTCTAAACAGTCAAAATGCTCCAAACGCGCTGCAGGACCTTTTGCTGCGGCTTGTTGAGCGTCAACCATTGACTTCGCATGTAAACCAGCTGATTCTGCTGCTTTAGGTGTGAACGTAGCATAAGATGGCGGTTTGAAATTGAAGGTGTTGTTCTTTTAGCTTCTACCAGAACTACAACTAAAATCACTGTTTCATCCTCTAGATCAGAGCTCTGCAGCCTAAAGTCTCAGGAGACGCTTTGCTTTGTGACTCTTTTAAAGTATTTAAAGGTGATGACAGCTCACGCTCTACGGGTCTCCAGCT